CCATCGCTAGTAGGTTGGAGGCCATTGCTCTTAGGTTGGAGGCCATCACTAGTAGGTTGGAGGCCTTTGCTCTTAGGTTGGAGGCTCATCGTTTTCTAGTAGCAAGAAGCTACTGGTAACAAAGGGCATCGCTACTAGGAGCAAGAAACTTCTGAGCATTACTACTAGTAACAAGGACGTTACTAGTAACAAAAGCATTGCACCTTGGGACCGTCATGGACCGTCCAAACTGCGAAGACCTGGTCATCGTCTGGCTGTCCTGGTTGGCGATGAAGGTGTACATCTGATAGACATCGTTGATGAAGTCGAGGTAGTATATGATGAGCTCAGCATAAACACCGCCTCTTCATCGCTTCAAAGAGAATACGACCACACAAACCGCACACACTCACACTTAGATATAGGCTCGCCAAAGCGTGAATCGGTTTGGAAGATCCAGTGCTACTGCAATCGGACCTTTAATGCAATTTAGACCTTGGCTGAGGGAACAGAATGGCGAAAGAGTCCGAGAAACAGAATTGTTCAACACGCTCGCTAGCACTTTACAGGAAGATTGGAGTCACAGCTTGACAACGCCACAAAAAGCAGGTACACAGCAGAGTCTCTGACCGCATCCCATGACACCACTAGCTTGGTTGGCCAGCGTCGTGATGCCATGCGCTGGCCCCCTGCTTGAGCTGTACATTGAACATTTCCTTAGGAACAGGGTTTGACACACGCACACACACACTCACATCTCTAAGAATGTGTCATGTTGAACGCAGAGTCCTTTTCAAGCTTCAAGATCTGTGGACCTACCAACAACTGGACTGAAGGACAAACAACACCTGCTGAAGGACAATATGTGCTTTGCGAGGGGAGCTCGAAGAGTCGGCCACATGAGGCGATTCATGATCCGTCGATCGCACGCCCCCTACACAGCTTGGCAGGGTCAAACTGGTGGAAACAAGGTCATGAAGCAGTCCGTCCTACACAGCTTACATGTGCGGGAGTGAGCCTTTCAATCACAAACAAATGCAAAGCTTCCCCTGAACTGAATCAACTATCAATCAATGATGCTGCTACCCAGGCCTGGTGGGCATGCTTGAATGGCCACCAGTGGTTCATAGCCCACAGGGACAGGTAGGGTCATGGAAGGTCATGCAGATCCAGTTGCAGCCCGTCATGGCCACCACGATCTGTGACACCAGACATATGAACTTAGACTTACCAAGATCTGCAGCTTGACGGACCAGAAGCAAGGGCGAGTTCTGAACGCCACGGATTCTTCAAATGTGCACGCCAGCAATCAGGCTCATAGATGCTATGTATGGGCTTCCATGTTGATAGACACTGATAGATCATCTTGTTCCAAACAAAGAAACATATTGCTGTATTGAAACGTATAAATCGCAGAACCTGATCAATTGAGTAGGAAACTCCTTCTTACAGCCCTTGGTTCGCGACATTTCCATGGCACGGCTTCGATCAACCGGAGGAACCACGCGGGAAGCACCAAGACAGGATTTTAACGCCGGAGCAGTCTTTACGGAATGGAATGGTGTGAAGAAACTGGAGCAGTTCCTCAGTTGTTTCCAAAATGATTGGAGGGCAGAAGACTGGAACGATCAGAATCCAGTCTTGATGTTCAATTTGCCACTCCGAAGTGACGTCCCGGATTTGCCGATGGATTGACCAGGATCTTGCAATCGCTTGCAATGCGATTTGGAACCCCCACACATCCCTTTCAATGCATTTCACCCCACAGGAGTGACATGGTTCACCCAGCCATTGCTTCCAACCCAGCTCCTTGAGCGCAAGCCTCAGAGAGATGAACCAAGCTGTTCGAGCGAACGATCGGAGAAGTCCTTCCCGCTGGTCTTCGGTGGTTTTGAAGCAGTCCTTGAGACCACCCCGCGATGTGGACAGCCTCTGAAGAGGCCATTGTACTCTTGATGAATGACCCTCCATAATACTCATCAAGTCATCAAGAGGCGGTGTTATTCATCAAGAGTCTACATATTAAAGATTAATTAAAGTAATTAGACTTAAACTGAAATGGAAATCCTCCACTGAGAAAAACCATGGTATCACCAACCGCCCAAGACGTCCGTTTTGGGTGGTCGCATCACATTTGCGCTTCAAATTTGCAACATCGCTGCTCGAGTGCGCCACTTGGCCTACCGTGAGACCACCCCCATCTCTCCTATCGTTGTCCTTGCTCCGTTCGTAGCGTCCTTGCTTCTTAGTAGCGTCCTTGCTCCTATAGTAGCGATGCCAGGAGCCCCTAGTAGCGCCTGGCTCCACTGGCCTGAGGAACCAAAACGCTACAAACAGGGCTCCTGGCATCACTACTATAGGAGCAAGGACGCTCCTAGGGGCCCCTGGCCTTACTACTAGGAACAAGAAGCTACTAGAAACAAGAAGCATGCGTCAGGACTGTTACCCTTCAACCACTTGTCGGTTTTAGACCCACACATGCGAACTGGATCTCATCCGAACCCCAAATCCATTGTTCGCGCCAGCCGACACCACAGATCCAGGGGGTCTTCCGGGACATGTCCCGGGGTACTCGGTCGGAGGCCATCGCAGTGGAGGCCATCGCTTCTATAGGTTTGAGTTCAGTGTTCTTAGAGACCAGGATGGCAACTCCCTGCAATCGACTTTCTCCCTTCTCCCCGGAGCCTTCGGATCTCTTCGCGTCCCTCCCTCGCTCTCCGGCCACGCTGCTGTCCGCAGGCGCCTGCGATGTCCTGCCCCATCTCCCGGCGCACGCGGGTCATGAGGCCGAAGTGCGCCAAGATCTGCTGAAAGCCTCGGCACGCCGCACCGGGGCACGAGGTTCTTCTTTCTTTTTGTGTGAGAAAGGTGTCGGTGGCGCATGAAACATGATGTGGGTGGTGTTCAAGAGGCCAATCATCTGGGATGTGTGCCTTGAGATGCCTTGCTGGTGTGTTTTAGGCCATCGCTATTAGGTTAGAGGCCGTCGCTAGTAGGTCGGAGGCCATAGCTTGGAGGCCATTGCTATATTAAGTTATACCCATGTGATACCCTTCGGTTCTCTCACAGAGGAGCGTCAAGGGTCACTCCTAATCTTCTCCGTACTTATTCAGTCAAACAAACCGTGGTGTGGTTGGGCCTCGAAATTCCACATTGGGTGGTTGAAACTTTGTAGCAGTTCGTGCAAAGACCAGCCCAACCATGTTTCACAAAGCAGTGTCATGTGAGGGTGATCTAGCATCATCTAAAAAGAAACAAAGAGCAAATGGCCTCCAACCCCAATAGCGATGGCCTCCACCCAAGTAGCGATGGCCTCCAACCCAAGAGAGATGGCCTCCACCCTACTAGCGATGACCCTGTCATCATTAATTAGCATCAGTCAATTCTGTAAATCCACCGCCCCTTGCCCCAGCTTCGTTCGCCGGCCGAGCATCGCTCCACTCGTTCGTGCGTGGGCGCGGAGAAGCCGCCCGGGAAGGCCGCCGCCGTGGGGTTGTACGGGATGAGGTTCACCATGAGCTGCGGAGCTCAGAGCATGTCCCCAACTCGTGACCAAAGCGCTACAGCGATCAAGAATGACAACCATTGCTTGGAGGTTTCTCCACTGTTTTTTGAAAGAAACACAATTATGCCTCAGGGTCATGTGGATTAAACCCCTCGATGGGAAATCACTTGCAAGGTTCAACAAAAAGCTAAGACCTGAATAAAAGAAGCGGACAGGACACCGGTATAAAGGTAGTGCTTTGTTTGGAACAGCTCATGGCTCATGATGATGGTTGAATTCGAGGTTCACAAACCTGTTTGTAGCTCTTTTGGACTACATTATCTGGGATTGGTCTGTGGCTAACAGATGCTAAAAGCAATCTCTAGCTGCTGACCTCAAGTTGGATGTTCAAATGTTCCAGTTTGGTTTGAGCCTTCAATGGATTTGTTCATATTTGTTCTCCTTGGTCACCGGAGCTGGGTGAGGGGCGGCCAGCTGGGTTCCAGGACACATCTGCATACAAATGGCCAGCTGGGGAACTGGCCTTCTAATGGCCATCTAGGTGGAGGCCATCGCAATTTTGTTTTGCTCTAGCTCTAACTCTCTCTCTCTCTCTCTATCTGCACTTCCCTGATAGAGAGAGAGAGAGAGAAAAGAAACAAAACACGTATTGGTATACCTATGTTGGGGAAAACCCCTCGAATGTCTTGATAGAGAACATAGCCCACCTCTTGTCATGTCCTCTCCTCTCCTCTCCTCTGCGCCTTCCGCGCGCGGGTCGCCAGCAGCTTCCCCAGCTGGGCGGCATTCTCATCGCTGTCGTTCTCTCCGGCAAGGAGGACGTATTCCTTGAGGACGCTACTAGGGCTCTGGCCTTGCTACTAGTAACAAGAAGCTACTAAGGACGTATTCCTTGAGCAGCTCGAGACTGAGCTCTCTTCTCATCCATGGGTAGGTGATCAGAAGAATTTGGTTCTGCGACGGTGATCTTTAGCGGCTTGGTCTTGCAACCAAATGAAATCGCTTGGGTCCAAGGTTGGCACACGCTCTGGTATGTGGGTGCTGGCACCCATTCTTAGCCTGGCGCCCGCAAATCACATGAGAGACCAACCTTCACTGGCTGAAGACCGACCCAATTCACCTGCGACCGGACTGCCTATCGCTTGATTGGTACCTCAAGTCTTCGGCACCTCGCAAAATGACGGGTCTGTCATCTCACAAGTCACTCGCCCCCTGCTGTCAAAGCTGCAATCATGGTTCGGGCTGTCTTCCTTAACGGCACGCTGCAGGCGTGGACTGAGCTTACCTCCACGTGCACGTCTGGAGGACCCTTCAATTCCCAATACTGCATCATACTTGCATGGGATCCATTGAACATCTACCGTATCTCGCAAAAGGATCCCATGGACCCTGGAAGAGCAGGCTTCCTCTACAACGCATTGGTTGGGGTTCCTTATTCCGTGTGGTCCTCTGGGGAGTATATCAGCAGGTGTTCTAGGGGAGTATCTACCCTGGAAGATGGCCAGAATTGTGTGCAGTGGACCAATCAATCCCATGACGGTCGGACTTTGACCATATCCCTATATATAAGCTTAATTCAAAGTCCACTGACAAGTCGCTCAAACTCCAACCCGGCTGGAGCCACACTCAAACTCTTCCCACTCAGATCCACATCGTCTCAGATCGTCTCAAACGTTCCAACACTCTTCCATTGCTACGACCAGGGGTGGAGGCCATCGCTCTGAATTCGGTTGGAGGCCATTGTTACGACAGGTGCGGCCCCAGGCACTGCTCCAGGTGCAGATCCAGCGCCAAAAGCAGCTCCTCCAGCGGCAAATGCTTCGCCGAGGGGACGATCCGCTCCCGGAGCTCCTGTGCTGGGCCGGCGTGTGGTGGGTGCGAATGGAGTGGGCACTGTGAGGATAGGACGCGGTGGAAAGGGCTGCATTCTTCTCAATCTTGGAGGAAAAGATCCAAATTTCCGATAACAGGCATGCAGTCTTGCTGGATTTCTATAAAATTTGCCTTAATCCTGTGAGGTGCTTTTCGAAGAGTACTCGTTCCGTTCGATCAGGATGTTTCACCCAGCTGCGACCGAGTGAAACGTTCCCCTGTGCGGAAGCTCGCCTGAGTGGGTGCATGTAGGGACAAGGCCAGGCTCAGTCCCGGCAAATCCTGGACCTGACGGACGCGGGGGAAAGCGCGGGGTGTCCGGTACCGATCGGCCTTTTGAAGCATTGAGGCTTCGGACCAAATACCAGAAAGACCTCAGATGCCCCTTTTCCCTAGACTTCCAAGACCAGTAAAAATAATGGGAACGACCTGGTTTTTGTAATGTAAAATCCTTAGTTGATTCGGGATTCAGCCCATTAAATTAAGTTGGAAGCCTGGGGTTTTTGGGATGGGTCCAAAACGATGCCTTCGGAAGGCAAGGTTGTCCTTTGCAGCCTTTCGTGGATGTCGTTCGAAGGACGAAATACGTCGATGCAATCCTGTGGAATATAATCATGGAAGTGGAAACCGCCAGTTTGTGGAGTACAGCCAGTACAGCTGTCAAATTCTTGCCCATGAGGTTTCACGATCGTCAGAAACCACACTTCGTTTGGACCCTGCCAAGCCACTAGCTGCCTCATACGTGGAGCCACTCCTGAGAGGAGCAGTACCCGAGCCGTTTTGAGACCGCAGTGAACTCCACCAGGTCACTTCGGCGGTAGCGTCCCTCGATTCCCCACAAGATCGAAGCCACTGCCTAGCCACTGCTTTGGTTTCAACATAATACTTGGCCAAGGTTTGGCTCTGGTCCGGGGTGGGAATTGTCCCCTCACACCCCGGGCAGGTTTAGCCGGTAGCCTTAGGGCCGCGAAGCCGGGTGCATGGTTTTCGCGGTTCGCTGTTTACTGGCCTTTTACGCGTTCCTGATCTTCATCCTTCACCAATTCCAGGTTGGCCATCACGAGGTCCAAAGAACCAGTTTGGCATCGGAACTTAAGGAGGAGAAGAAAAGCTGCAAGAATCACCTTGAGAACTTGGAAACAAGGCAACAAGGTGACAAGACATCGCCTTCGTGGTGCAATAGTACGCATTGCTACGCATCACGGCAGTTCATTGCCGGGACAGATATCCACAATGCCTCTCAGGTGGATTTGCCAGTGTGGTCAGAAGAATGCCCCCAAAGCTCTCTATTGTCTCTACTGCGGAGAGCACTATACGGCAGTAGAATGGAAGCGAGATCGGTCGAAGTCTCAAAAGCGGAAAGAGCAAGATCCTTTTACGCCTCCGCCCAGGAAGGAAGCCAAGAGCAAGGGGAGATCGCAGACCACGCCAGCATTACCACCCTCGCCGAGACTACCACCACCGCCTGCTCCTCCAGGTGGGGTAGAAGGCAATGCCGCTACAGTGGATATTCAGCAACACCTGGCAGCTATCAGAAGCTACTATGGGACTGCAGCAACTTCGAGCTTGGCAAAGGAGATTCAAACCCTGGAGCAGAGAGGAGAATCGAGTCCTCGCCTGACACATGGGCATCTTTCCAAACTTGGGAAGGCCCAAAAGCAGGTGGAGCTCTGCAAACAGGAAGTGCAAAAAGCCGACAAAGATTGGCAGGCCTTTGCATTGAAAGCGAAGAACAGCATGCAAGAGCGATGGGCAGTGTATCAACGGGACAGAGAGAAGGCCAAAGCTGCACTTGTCGAGGCAACAGAGAATTTGAGTTTGCTGAGGACGCAGGTGAAGCACGTAGCTTCTGCACTAAGGACAAATATCAGTGTGGAAGACGAAGGGGATGCAATCCCCACTCTCGAGGAGATGCAGAGGATGCTGGGCAAAATCGAGGAATCGGAGCTCATAGACGACGACGAAATGCAAGAAGACATGGAGGAAGAGCTGGTTGCAGACAAAACTGCAGAACCAGCAGTTGCTCTGAGGGCATTTCGAAGAGCCATTACTCGGCCGGGCAAAGCTGCAAGTGCTGCATCGCCTCCCAAGGGAGTCAAGCAGACTCATTTGAAGCAAGCTGTGGAGAAGAAGGAAAAAGGGGAAAAGGCAGATGTAGATCCAGCAGAGACCAAGTGATATTCAGCCATGAAGAATGGGGATGCTCTCATGTAGCTGATTGTTGTCAGAATAGTCCGTTGGCGCCATTTTTGAAGGCACGCCTTTGGACGGATAGTTATAACTGCTGGAGTGACGGCTCATTTTGCCGCCCTTTTCTACAAACAACCAGAGATATCGATAAAGGAGAAGTGCAAAGATGGGAACGCCTAAGAAGCATTTCCAGGCTTTCTGTGCTACTTCGTGTCTCCGATTTTTCCCAATGTCTTGTCAGACTTGAAAGGCCAGTAATTAGTTCGTTCGAGAAGCATTCAAGGGTCAATGATTCTAGGTGGGAGCAGTGTCATGTCGACGACTTCGCGGATGAGGTTATCGCACAAGCAATGCTCTTTTGCTGTCTTGAACTAATTGCCTTATTCGGGTCCGGAATTTATGCATGTTGGGAAACTTGGTGTCAGTTTAGAGTAGCCAAAAAGCCAACTTCACCTCGATCACATAGGTATCATAGAATCAATAGAAGGCAGATGAAAGCAATAGTCTTGATCTTCCTTTGCTTGGATTTTGTAGGTGTGAGAGCTAGGATCCATGCCGAGACTTATGCTTTGTCTTCTGACATCCAACCTACAAGGAAAAAGGATAGTACAGTCCACCACGAAGCAGAACACGAGGTCATGTCGCTAATGGAAAGGTCAGAGGCGAGTGATCTCGGTCCACTTCTACAAGAAAGCGAAAGTGGAACTCAGGGCTTCCAATCGCATCTTGCAGCAGTGCACGGAGCAGTGGTTTTAGGACGTGAAGCAGAGGTCGGCGACTTCCTGAGGGCATTCCTGACCGAGTCTGCTGTACGACTACCAGAGGTGGATCCTTTGGTGCTTGACACATACTTCGTATCTAGGTGGCACAGAATCAACAAGACACCAAGACGAATCAGTTGCTATAAAGCTCTCAACTGGCAGAATGCACTGCTAGCTGCATGGCTTCCAAGGGGAGATCGTAGCTTCGTCACTGTCTTTATAGCACAGATGCATTCTAGTACGCAAGAAGGTCCGGAACTGCTCATCATTCCCAGAGAAGATGATTTGATTCATGCAAGACCTTTCTTGGTGGACGTCATGGCACACATCACGGTGCGATGTGGAGTCTGGGCTGAGAGAAACTCAAAGGTTCGTGACATTTTCTTAGGTACAGAGTTCGATGCCTTTTGCAACCACCATTGCCAAATGGCCTGTTGGAACGGAAATGATTTTGTGATTTTTGATTGGGAGGACACTGTAGAAGCAAGAGCAGGTGCTTATTGTAAGTTGAGCCGTGCTATTTCTTGTGCCGGTGTTTCCAGGAAGCGCAAGGCTGTTTCACTTGGAACGACACTGTTGCAGAATGGCAGTCAGCTGAGCACTGAAGAACAGAGCCTCTTTCAAATCGATCTCACGATACACAGCCTGCGCGAAGAGTGGCCGCAATAACTAGTTGCAATGCACAGACTCACTTTAGAGATGAAGTTCAATTTCTGTTGCAACGTAGATATAGAAGCACGTTCTTGCACGTACACATTCCTACTGACGGACACCAACCACAGTCAGCCCGTCTCGTCTGGGACAATACTTGGAATCAGGAACAGCTAGTGCCTTGGGTTAGACTGCGAGTGGCAGAAAGCTTTCCACTTGCAGATGTAGCCAAGTTATGGTGGGTGGAACCTCAGCCTGCCCCGCATCAACAACTCGGACTAGACGATGTTCACATGATCCTTTTTGTGCCAGCTGAAAGGCATTTTGCTATTCTGGTCTGTGTGGATTGGTCACATATCGAGCCAAATAAGCACACTCTTCTGGCAGGAATGTTTGCTTCTCCTGTCACGCAGCAGAGTGTGATTCGATGGTTGCGTCTTGAGAGGGATTGTCGTCGAGTCTTGTGCAAATTCCAGCTAGGAGGAATGCCAATTGATGATGAAGTCCTGCCGATAGACGCCGATGGACAAAGACTTGATCTAGTGCTGCATGAAGACTCCTGTGACCAGTTTGCAGTTCATGGTCATGGAATGCAGACACCAGAAATAGATGCGATAGTGGATGAAATTGGTCTGATGCAGACAGTATTAGATCTGTCGATTCGCGACTTCTCTGCAGATCTGGATACTATTCTGCGTGGTTTGCGTAGAGCATTCTCTACAGTCCAGCAAACGTTCACTATACAGGTCGTATCAGGGGATGGGTTCGTTATTAGGGATGTGCTAGCAAGATGTGAACTATACTCCATCACAGATGAGCGTGAGTTCCGACAATGGTTAGAGCCACTGCTTTTGCCAAGTTTGAGGGGTCCCATAAGAGGTTTTCTTGGAAGAATTAAACTGGTACAAGAAGCTCCTCTCTTGATAGTGGCAAGGCAAGGCCAACCTAGACAAATACCATACTTGGTCAAATATCGTCCAGAAGGTCTCTCCACTCTGACGCAGATTGTCCTGGTGACAAGGGTCAAACAGGTGTCTGAGTTTGTCGCTGAGTTCGACAGCCAGAGCTATCTAGCATGGGCTGGAGAAGACTGTGCCTACGAAGTCGATGGTAGATGGGTGGAACCGTCATTTCAAGTCGATTGGATTCCTGCGACGGTGATCCAGATTTTTCAGTCAAGGCAGAAAATCCAAGAACTTGACTGTGGACCGCATATGGAACTGAATGCATACGATCCATACATACAAGCAGAAGAAGTTTCCAGACGGCTTGTTAGGGACTCTTCAAATTCCTCTGAACTGAGTTCATCCAGTAGCGATGACACAAGCTGCCTACAACTTTCTCTTCAACATGGTGCAGATCGTGATGAAGGGGAAAACACTGCAACACCGAAATATACATGGCCGCGGCGTCCAGAGAAAGAGAGTAGCAGTGGAACGCGACAGCAGACATGCGGGAGAGGTGCAAGTGAGATAAGTTGTGTGCAGCAAGTATCTGGAGGAAGAGAAGAATACGGGGAAAACACTGCAACCCCAAATATAACGGCACAAGGTCAAGGCAACTATGACCGCAATTTCACACTGGACAGCGAGATACATCAGGAGCAGATGCAATATTCGCAATTCGGTGCATATTTTGGGGAAAACACTGCAACTCCGGAGAGCCTCTCCCAGGAGACGGAAGAGGGTGATCACGGTGTTCTGATGCAAATGATTAGAAATCCAGATCAGTTACAAACTTATCTGGCGCAAATCGCCCTGGAACGAGGGATGAACTTTGATTTTTGGTTCCACAGCAAGGCCTTCCCATTGGACTTTCGCAATGAGAAGTACTCCTTGGAATTTAGGCTGGGACAGAGTGTGGAACTACGGATCAAGAGGCATCTGGGCATTCGTGACAGAATCTCTGTATATCCTGCATGGCCGCATTTGAATGAATTCGTTCCGACAGCAACCTTCTTGGTTACTGACTCATCCAATGTCCCGCGAGTTCTGGCGCTGGCAGAAGTGCAGGGTATTGCTAGACGGGAACGTGGCACGTTCCTCTTGCAAACACCACAAGGTAATATGGGAGTCAGCGATGTGTTCAGGCAATTATGTCCACAAAATGAGTGCGAATGGACTGCCACATGTTCAGTTATGATAGGGTCCAC